ACTCACACTCAGACATACTCATACACAGACTTACTCATACACAGACTTACTCACACCCAGCCGTACTCATACACAGACTCACTCATACCCAGACTTACTCATACACAGTATTATCATACTCAGACTTACTCATACCCAGACGTACACATACACAGACTTTCTCATACACAGACCTACTCATACCCAGACTTACTCATACACAGACTTACTCATACACAGACTTACTCATACTCAGCACCCCTAAGGGGAGCCGCCAGGGGTGGTTGCACGGGCTCGTTCGCGGCCATTTTGTGGGGATGTCTCAGGCGGTTTGCCTGTTTCTGTGCCCAACATCATTCGCTTTCGGAGCAGATTTGGAGGATGTCTCGAGCGAGGCGCTCATTTCAGCACCCCTAAGGGGAGCCGCCAGGGGTGGTTGCACGGGCTCGTTCGCGGCCATTTTGTGGGGATGTCTCAGGCGGTTTGCCTGTTTCTGTGCCCAACATCCTTCGCTTTCGGAGCAGATTTGGAGGATGTCTCGAGCGAGGCGCTCATTTCAGCACCCCTAAGGGGAGCCGCCAGGGGTGGTTGCACGGGCTCGTTCGCGGCCATTTTGTGGGGATGTCTCAGGCGGTTTGCCTGTTTCTGTGCCCAACATCCTTCGCTTTCGGAGCAGATTTGGAGGATGTCTCGAGCGAGGCGCTCATTTCAGCACCCCTAAGTGGAGCCGCCAGGGGTGGTTGCACGGGCTCGTTCGCGGCCATTGTGTGGGGATGTCTCAGGCGGTGTGCCTGTTTCTGTGCCCAACATCCTTCGCTTTCGGAGCAGATTTGGAGGATGTCTCGAGCGAGACGCCCATTTTCACCCCCCAGGTGGGCCAGATTTTGAGGATGTCTCGATCGGTTTGCTAGTTTTGGTGGCCAGGCTCGTGGGCGCAGATTCTTCTCAGGATGCCACAGGAGGCTCCAACAGGCTCCAGGAGGCTCCAGGAGACCACATGAGGTCCCAGGAGGCATCAGGAGGCCACAGAAAGACTCAAGAGGCTACAGGATGTCCCAAGAGGCTCCAGGAGGCCCCAGGAAGCTCCAGAAGGCTTCAGGAAACCACAGGAGGCCCCAGGAGGCAACAGGAAGCGCCAGGAGGCCTCGGAAGGCAACAGGAGGCCCCGAGAGGCCCCAGGAGCAGGAGGCCTCAGAAGGCAACAGGAGTGGCTCCAATCCCATGTGTTTTACGTATGCTCCTATCGATTGGGCCTCACCTGGAGCACGATTCTTTGATGTTCTACGTATGTTTCTATAGATGGTCCTTCTCCTGTGTACACAATCCTAAATGTTTTACTCATGTTCCTATGTATTGGGCCTCTCCTGGGGCACGAGTCCTTGGTGTTTTACGCGTGTTCCTATAGATTGCCCTTCTCCTGTGGCTCTAATCCGCAATGTTTTATGTACGTCTGTTGCTATAGATTGCGCCTCTCCTGGGGCACGAAACCTTCCTAGGAGGTCCCAGGAGGTCCCAAGAGGCTCCTGGAGACCCCAGGAAGCCCCAGTAGGTTTCAGGAGGCCCCAGGAGGCCCCAGGCTCATGCACAGAGACGCGCTCGTACTACTGAGGCTCATTCACACTCCAATTCATTCGCAGTTAGATTGATGTCCAGACCGTCACAACTGAAGCCCGTTAATATTCGAAAGCTCTTGCGCCTAGACATTCATGGCGGACAGGTCCATGCGAGTAGATGCACATATGGGGAGCTCCACGCAGTGAATAATTATTACTTGGACGCCTCCTACTCCCTCTTCCTCCTCCGCTTTCCTCCTCCCCTCCTCATACTCAGACTTACTCACACTCAGACTTACTCATACTCAGACCTACTCATACTCAGACTTACTCACACTCAGACATACTCATACACAGACTTACTCATACACAGACTTACTCACACTCAGACATACTCATACACAGACTTACTCATACCAGACTTACTCACACACAGTATTAGTCATACTCAGACTTACTCATACTCAGACCTACTCATACTCAGACTTACTCACACTCAGACATACTCATACACAGACTTACTCATACACAGACTTACTCATACACAGACTTACTCATACTCAGGCATACTCATACTCAGACCTACTCATACTCAGACTTACTCAACACACATCAGATTTGGAGGATGTCTCAAGCGGGGCGCTGGTTTCAGCACCCCTAAGGGGAGCCGCCAGGGGTGGTTGCACGGGCTCGTTCGCGGCCATTTTGTGGGGATGTCTCAGGCGGTTTGCTTGTTTCTGGGCTCAACATCCTTCGCTTGGAGAGCAGATTGTGAGGATGTCTCAGGCGGGGCGCTGGTTTCAGCACCCCTAAGGGGAGCCGCCAGGGGTGGTTGCACGGGCTCGTTCGCGGCCATTTTGTGGGGATGTCTCAGGCGGTTTGCTTGTTTCTGGGCCCAACATCCTTCGCTTGGAGAGCAGATTGTGAGGATGTCTCAGGCGGGGCGCTGGTTTCAGCACCCCTAAGGGGAGCCGCCAGGGGTGGTTGCACGGGCTCGTTCGCGGCCATTTTGTGGGGATGTCTCAGGCGGTTTGCTTGTTTCTGGGCTCAACATCCTTCGCTTGGAGAGCAGATTGTGAGGATGTCTCAGGCGGGGCGCTGGTTTCAGCACCCCTAAGGGGAGCCGCCAGGGGTGGTTGCACGGGCTCGTTCGCGGCCATTTTGTGGGGATGTCTCAGGCGGTTTGCTTGTTTCTGGGCTCAACATCCTTCGCTTTCGGAGCAGATTTGGAGGATGTTTCGAGCGAGGCGCTCACTTTCACCCCCCAGGTGGGCCAGATTTTGAGGATGTCTCGATCGGTTTGCCTGTTTTGGTGGCCAGGCTCGTGGGCGCAGATTCTTTTCAGGATGCCACAGGAGGCTCCAACAGGCTCCAGGAGGCCCCAGGAGACCACATGAGGTCCCAGGAGGCATCAGGAGGCCACAGAAAGACTCAAGAGGCCACAGGACGTCCCAAGAGGGCCCAAAAGGCCCCAGGAAGCTCTAGAAGGCCTCAGGAAGCCACAGGAGGCCCCAGGAGGCCACAGGAGGCGCCAGGAGGCCTCGGAAGGCAACAGGAGGCCCCGAGGGGCCCCAGGAGCAGGAGGCCTCAGAAGGCAATTGGAGTGGCTCCAATCCCATGTGTTTTACGTATGCTCCTATCGATTGGGCCTCACCTGGAATGCGATTCCTTGATGTTCTACGTATGTTTCTATATATTGTCCTTCTCCTGCGTAAGCAATCCTACTTGTTTTACTTTTGTTCCTATGTATTGGGCCTCTCCTGGGGCACGAGTCCTTGGTGTTTTACGTGTGTTCCTGTAGACCCATATACAATATTACCTTTAAAAAAAGGATGCACATATGGGGAGCTCCACGCAGTGAGTAATTTCTTCCGGACGCGTTGTAGAAATTGTTTACGCTGACGACTTCAATGCGCTGAAAACGCACGGCGCTTCAGTCAGTTCGGCAAGCGTCCTTGCGAACCTCCAGGAGTGTCAGACCTCTCTGCACACTTGAGGTCTCGCTAATTCGAATTTTCGACGCGGGCAAAGAAAACCATCACATCTTAAGTCACAGGCAGCCGCCCGGCGACTCATTTAAATACCTCGGCGCGCCACTTGATTGCACGCTTCGCATGCACGCCGCCATCGACGAATGCAAAGCGATATGTTACACGTGTTATGTGCCTTTTACGCACCAAGCGTTTTCACGCACTCTCGGAAATGGTGCTTCTTTACAAAAGCCACGAGATGTCGCACGCCGAATACCGCGCGCCTGCGATCACGCACGCATCGTGCAGTGCACTCCGCGTGCTTGACGCCGTTCAGGATTTTTGTTTCGCGCCGTTGGCCTTTCGGCCGAGGGCGCTTGCGCACATTTCAACTTAGCACCGCTGTGCACTCGGCGTGACATCGCTATCCTGGGCACGCTGCATAGGTCTGCAATTTGGCGCGGTCCTTCGACGTTTCACTCTTTATTTCGTCTCGATTATTCCCCTCCTCCTCCTCCTCGGGCTCTTCGCCGGCATCGCCACCATCTCATTGATCCGTCCTCGCTGCGCGCCCAGCAACTCGTGGCGGAGTTCGCGCCGGGCGCCGTGCGCCTCTATGACATTCTGCCCGGTATCGTTATCTCAGCGAGCAGTACGAAAGAGAGTCAAAGTCGAATGTCTTCCACAAGCGGCTTGGTGTTCTCGCGGGCCATGCTTCGTGGATATCTACGTTTTCATGGTGAAGGCCGCTACGCCTTTCCTTTTTTTCTTTCTCTCCTCGTCTCGTTTCGCGAGCTGCGCCGTTGCCCCGTATTTTTACAGCCTCGGGACAATAAGGTTCCCTACATGATCTCAATTCTCAACACCAGTTGAAAAGTTTCACGGCGAAGAACAGAAGACGCCCCAGACGGACTGGGAAGACATAAGATGAATGTTCACCCATACCTTCCGGAGAGTTTCAACAACCCGCCCGGACGAGCGCGCGGCAGATACTTGCTTAAAACCACTGCCAAACGCATGGCCAGACACGAAGAGAGGAGGGAGAGAGGGAGGGGAGGAAGGAGAGAGAGGGGGGGAGGGGAGGGAGGGAGACGGGGGGGGGAACAGAGGGAGAGGGGAGGAGAGCAGCAGAACACAACACACGGGGGAGCGAGGAGGGCGAGAAGGAGCGGGAACCGCCGAATGCGCGTCGGTTGCGGCGCGGCTTGCGCATGAGAGCGTAGATGGCGGATCGTTTCACAGAGAGCCGGGCTATCTTCGCCGCCTTGCACATCATACTCAAGGATGCACCGACAACCGTGGGCGCACTGCACAGACTATGGGCATATGTAGCTGGCTGCCCGCGTGAGCGGATGTAGTCTGCGAGAAACTTGACAATGGCAGGGCCGCGGGGGGCGCCCTCCGTCCTGGGGCGGCCCCGCCCGGGAGGTGGACAGGAAGACATATCAGGTGCAACGGCTGCTGGCTCGGAAGCGCCCCCGCGGTCCTCAAGAGCTGCCTGGCCCTCGGCCATGAGCTTGGCCCACGCGTTGTTGGCCTTGTCCAAGAGACTCCAGAAGTACACGGCGCCGTCGCTGGGAAGTTCGTCCAATGCTAGAAGCCATACGTTATCGAAGCTGGACGCCCCGCGGCCTGCAAACCGCACGCCCACGACCAGGAGGGGCAGCGCCCCGCAGAATTGATCGACGAACTAAGACGCCTTGGCGCGCGGCACGCGGTCGGCCCAGCAAGGCGCGATGTCCCTGAGCGAAGCCGCCGCGCTGTCCCGGAAGAACTCGCCGATGGCGCACAATGTCTGGGGGTCAGGAGCAGAGGGGGGGAGAGGACGGAGGGGCGGAAAGATGAGAGGGAGCGGCTGGCCTTCGCTTCGCAAGGCCCCGCTCGCGCACGCGGCGGCGCCAGGAAGTCGAGGCGGTCGATTTCGTCGCGCAGCGCGCCCAATGCCTCGGCCCACGACAACTCGCACATGTTCGGGGCGAAGAACACAAGAGCATGGGCACACAGGACAAGAATGTCCTTGTCCTTCGAGGCCATCCTCGGCTACTGGGTGGACGTCTGGAGGCGCCTGGTCGCGGCTTTGACGTGCACTACTGCGCGCCCGACGCGGCGCACGCACTGCGCGCGGGACATCTCCAGAGGCACGCGCTGGCGCGCATCCCGGTGGGCTTCTGGATGGCCGTCCTCGTACGAGATCGCCTCTGCCCTCCAAAGCATGGCGGCGTGCCGGCGCTGCTGCGCCAAGCGAGTCTGATTGTCGAGCTCTGGCTCGAGGCTGCTCGGCCCCCCTTGGAGCCAAGCGGCGCGCTGGCCTGCTGCGCGGGCATGCCCCTCAAGAGCTGCGGCGAGAGCGCGAAGCGAGGCGCCGTCGAAGTCTGGCCCGGAGGCCCAGGGAGCTCGCGGGGGCGGGCTTCTGGAGGACAGCTGAGACCACCTGCGCGGGAGTGGCGAATTCCTCTGGCAGGCCAACAAAAGCCGGCGCCTCCTGCAAAAACCTGACGGCGGCCGCCGCGAGCGACGCGCCCTCCGCCAGCGCGCGCAGGGCGCGGCGCGAGGCGAAGGCGAGGGCGAGGGCGGGCGAGGCGCCGCCGCCCCGCGCGTCGCCGCCCGCCGCCCCCGCAGCGCAGGCCCCCTCATCACCTTGAGCGGCGAGACCGGCTGGCGCATCGGAAGCATGGCCGACGTCGTCGTCGGATACGTCTGGCCCCCCCCCGCCGCTGGGCTCGCCGCGGCCTGCGCGGGCCGAGCCGCCGCTGGCGGGCTCGCCGCCGCCGCCGGGCTGGCCGCCGCAGCCGCCGGGGGCGCCGCGGCAGCAGCCTGCTTGGCTGAGCGTCGCCACCGTCGCGGCCGACCTGGCCGCGGCCTGCGCGGGCGGATCCGCCGCCAGCGAGCTCGCCGCCGCCGCCGGGCTGGCCGCCGCAGCCGCCAGAGCGCCGCGGCAGCAGCCTGCTTGGGCTGAGCGTCGCCACCGTCGCGGCCGTCGACGTCGCCGTCGTCGGCGTCGTCGGCCGCCGTCGGCGCGCATGCGGCAACTGCCCCAGCGAGCGCAAGAGGCCCGCGCCCCCCGCATGGACAAGAGCCTCGCGAAGCCATGCGTCTACCAGCAAGTCCCGGTGCTCCCGGCGGGCGCGCAAGTTCTCTCCTATTCCTCACTGCGGGGTCCCAGCCTATATTCCCACGAGCAGACTTCGGCTTCTTATTGGAAGAATCAGCGCGCCAGAACTTGGCGAATGTGAGCTGGCTATCTGCGCGGCGCGCGCCTACGACCCCCCAAATTGCCACGCGCACTTCGGCCACCCCCGCAGCAGAGCCTTGCAACACTTCGGAGCCTGCTGGGCATTACAATCGACGGGAAAGAACACCCGCGCCGTCGGTGCATACCTGGCGCCCAAACCTGGACCCTCAGGTCGATGCCAAACTTGCTGGGCTTTCAGCTCGAAGCCCAAGTGTCTGAAGCCAAAGTGGCTCTGGATGGGGGGGCGAGCAGGAGAAGGAGAAGGAGCAAGAGGTAGGAGAAGGAGGAAGTAGGAGGACTAGGTGGAGCAAGGGCTCCAAGGTCCATCCCCAGCGATCAGGTCGAGAACCCCATGGCCCATTGATGCGGTCGAGAGCTCCTCGGAAGGGACGGCCCAGCGGGGTCGAGAGCTCCTCGGAAGGGACGGCCCAGCGATGGGGTCGAGGGCTCAAGGTCCATCCCCAGCGCTGGGGTCGAGAGCTCCAGGGTCCATTGGTGGGATCGAGAGCTCCTCGGAAGGGGCAGTCCAGCGACGGGGCCGAGGGCCCGAGGCTCCACCTCGAGTTGGGATAAAGAACTCGGAACGGAGAGTCCACAGCAAGCCACAGGAGATTCCAAGAGACCCCACAATTTCCCTTGGCGCTTGGCGCTCAGCCGTCAAATCTTGGTGCAATATTCGTTCATTAGGTTTGCCTCAGTCTCCCTCCTCCCTCCCCCTCCCGCCCCCCCCCTTCCCCCCCCCGGATTCCGCGGGTTTTCGCGTCGCGCCCGGGTGCAAAATCTCCCCGCGGTCTGCCACAGCGCAATCGATGATTCTACGCATTATCTATTTGCGCGTTCTGTCTGTGCCTGCACGCCGCCACCTGCCACAATTGCCCTTGCCAATGCGCCGTCTGGGCGCGGATTCTGTCTGTCTGTCCACCACGACTTCTCTGCCTCCACGGCGTTCGAGGCGGTCTTAGAACCCCCATAACCGCTACAACGGCCCAAGGGGCGCCCAAGACAGCCCGAGAGGGCGCCAAGGCCCCAGGGGGTCTAAGACGGACTAAGAGGGCCCCAAGACGGCCCCAAGAGGAGCCCAGGAAGGGGAGCCCGACCCGACAATCCAAGTCTCCTGCTCCCCAGGAGGCCCGAAAAGGCGCCCAAGAGACCCCGAGAGGCACCCAAGAAACCCCTGAGAGGCCCCAAAAAGCCCCGAAGAGGCCCCCAAAAGGCCCAAAAAAGGTGCCCAAGCACCAGCATCTTCTTACCCGCACCCCAAAAACTCGTAAACCACAAGACCCCTACAGAACAGGCCACATACCGACAACCACGACACGGCGGGGGATAGGCGGAAGGCCACTTGATAGGAGCCGACACGAGACTCACCCCTCAAGTTAACGCGGTGATGTTTGAAAAAGGAGCCTCGAACAGAAGAACCCGCGCGAACCGAAATGGAGAGCTAGTCTTCAGAGCACTGAATTCCACCGTTCTGTCGGCCAGGATGTCCGCCACCGCGCTTTGCAGCGGGCATCCAGCGCGGCGAAAGAAGGCCCCAAAAGCCTCCGAGACGCCCGGAGGCCAAAAAATCAACGATTCAGACGTTCGCGGTCGCCACCGGACGATCACCGCGCCGTGAGAGGGGGGGCCCGTGATCAGGTTTTGCTTGCTGACCACCGAGAACGACTCGAGCCGAACGTGGTCGCAACGACCTAGAAAGCAAAGTAACCAGCCGCTCTGCGACATTGAACGTGCGAACTCCCCGCGCAGCCGGGCAACTTCCCCTGAAAGCGCCACACAGCAAGGCAACACATCACAATCTGGCGCCCTGTAGAGAATGCCTGAACTAAAGAAAGGACGAGGAGAAAAAAGGCATCACGTGCACCACGACGCTTTCGACGAGCAAACTGGCGCCGAAAGCCCCCAGCCTCGAGGCAAGGCGCGAGCAAAGCAGGTACGAGACGTCTGGTTGCCTTCGACGAATGGGAAGTAAGGTCCAGACCCTGGTAGTCCGGATCGCACATTGAACGGCGTTTCTGGAGAGCATAAATCAAATACTTGCGGAAAAAAACTGCCGTGCAAAAAAGCAAGACCGGAGCCGCAAATCTTCAACGCGTCGCTGGCAAGGTCCGGGCTCATGCTGCTGTCAGCCTGAAAAATGATAACACACTGCGAACGCTCCGCAGACGACTGCGCAGGAAACGACAACCCTTATAAGGCATCAATGCATGATATCAGAGAACAAGATATTGATATAACCTCCGGGTCAAGCATGTCCTATTTGGTAAAGAAACTGCAGGATGAAAGCTGTGCTGTTGGAACACTTGAAACTGCCCAGCATCCATTGGGCCTCTTGAAAAGGGATCTCATGGGCTTGCACGAGTTGGGACAAACACGGCTGGATTCTTTCACCGAATTGATTACCACTGAAGGTGGCAACATATTGTATATCCGCGAACAAAAAAAATGACTGAGTTTGTGTGCCAGCGCATTTTCTCCTGCGGCGTTGGGCGCCCTGGCGCGGACGGCCAAACGACCCCTGCAGCGGGGCGCCCTGCCCACACGGTCGGCGCCGCAAAAACTGCGCGTTCAACGCGGGCGTCGCGCAAAGTACGCACCGAAAGGCGCCGCGCACGGTCGCGCGCACCGCAGGGACTCTAAAAGCGCCTTCGGGGCGGCTCAGGGGTGACCAAAAAATGGCAGAGATTGTGTGCCAGCGCATTTTCTTCTGCGGCGTTGGGCGCCCTGGCGCGGACGGCCGAACGACCCCCCCGTCGCCGCTCATTGATTACACCGAATGGGTTTCGCAACGTCGATTATCCCTTCTCAAAGAATATCAAGATTTACCCCCATCCGGAGTGAACGGCCCCCTGTCCGCATGGCAAATTACGTAAGTTTCCGCCCCGTCGTCCATCGTAAGTATGACCTCGTACCATCCTGGGCAGGCCGGTCTTGCCCCCTCTCCTCCTTTGCAACAAATGCTATGCGCGTGCACTTTTTGATCAATACTCATCAGTTTTCGAGAATCCCTCGCCAAAAAAGAACAGGACGAAATGCACACGCGCGCGTCGCACCGCGCGCATGCCAACACCATTCAAGAACCCTATGTTTCGCAAGGATTGCACATCGAGGGTGCCAAAAACATATAAACAACACATGGTTTCGCAACGATGAGTTTCAAACAAAACTTGCGTTCGGGCCCTTGCGAATTGTCCAGCAACCGTTTGCTTTCAACAGTTTCATTGCTACTACACGGGCCTCTCGCGCGCGCATGTCGAAATGGCTCGAACGCCCTTCCGCGCGTGATGTCGCAATAATACCATGACAAAACGGGACGAAATGCACGCGCGCGCGTCGTCGCGCGCGCAGTCCGAAACCTCAGCTGTCGCGCATATGTCAGAATCGAACGTCCCGAAAACATATAAAACACACATGGGTGTGCAACAACAACTTTCAAACATGACCACGCTCGCGCTTCAGCGATTTATATATATATATATTATAATAATAACAACAACCATAATAATATTAATAATAATATTAATAATAGTACTAATAATATTAATAATAATAATAAACATGTTTCAACATTTGCATTGCATTCTGCCAAACGGGCCCCTCGCGCCGCGCGTGGAAATCATTCGAACGCCCTTGCGCGCGTCCTGGGGAGGCACGATCCGTGTCAAAGCATACCATGCGGGCCACTCTCGCGCGTCGGCCGCGCGCGCATGTCGAACTCCCACCAAAACCTCCATCGCCGACGCGGCGTGAACGTCGTCGGCGCGATCCGCATCGGCGCCGTCGCTGGACTTGCGCGGTCGTT